ACTAGAATCCCCCAGTGAGGGACTGGAGTGTGGCTCAGTGGTAGAGCTCCTGCCTAGAATCCCTGCTTAGATTCTGGAATCACCTGCTTAGAATCCCCCAGTGGAGGGTTTGAGGCTACTTTCTAACACCCCAGTGTCCATTCCTAGTACCACACAACGAACAAACCGAAAATGGCGCCCAAAACACAAACCTAGAAAAGCCCACCAACATTCTGCCTATAGCTGCTGACCCACATGAGCACATACCGCGAGCACGTACCCTCCACTGACGGTCATCACAGAGGCAGGCCGTGTGCACCATGCAGATACCCCCGGGAACACCGACACTCTCACGGCAGCCATTTTGGTCAGTCTCCCTGGCACAGCGTTGGCAGCAGTATAACTGCCACTCTCCCTCCATCAGTGCCCGGGGATACCCTCTACGCACCAGCACGCATCCCCGAATCCCTGTGCCACCAGCAGCCCTGTCCTGCAGTCACCCCTGCCGCCGTGCCCTCCAGGCCTGACACCCCACGCCGTCACAAGGTCACCGAGTAGCTCCAAGTTGTCTCCCAGCAATGTGGAATGTTCCCTGCCCCTGACCTCTTCATACACCCCCTTCCTGAAGTGCCCCCCGCATCAGGACCACTGAGTCAGACTCTCCAGAACCTTCGCTGGTTCTTCGTTGTCCAAACTGGGACTGAAACCCGGGGTCCCACACATGCCAGGCAAGCATCTGCGCCGGAGATACACTTCTGGTCTTTTATTTTAAAATTATTTCTTATGAGACAGGGCCCGCCGAGTAGGTTTGGAATTGGTCATCCTCCTGCCTCAGCCTCCCAAATAGCTGGGATTCCAGGCCTGAGCCGCAAGGCCCAACTCCTGTTGTGAAGGCCACAGAGGTGAGAGTCACCTTTGACTTGAGCTGCCCACACTGCAGACTTCCTGTCAGGACCTGCCACTGTCCAGAGGCCTCCTTCCCCTGACCCCCTCGCCTGCGCCCACTTCCTCTGGGGGTCACAGAGAGGCTCACCCGCCCTCCAGACCACCTGCCCCAACCCCTGGCTGGACTCACAGGTACTGCAGGTAGGACAGGCCGACGAAGGCATCGTCCTCGATCGCGGAGAAGGTGTTGGACGTGAGCAGGCTGGCAAAGGGGCAAGGCAGTGTTTTCAGAGCTGCAGACCAGAATCTGCCCCACCCCCACCTGACCCGGAGACACACATGCAAGCATGGGCCTAACGAGAACGGACATAGTGCCTCTATAAACACACACCACACACACACACACACAGACACACACACACACACACACACACACACACACACACACACACGAGGCACTCTCTGGAGGAGAGGGTTGGGGTCCAGCCAGCCCACACTCACAGCAGGTGTAATGATGGCATCTTCAAGAAGCCGCCAGCCTTCAGCCGGGAGACCCCCATCCTGACGAGTGAGCTGGGGGCACGGGCAAAGATTAGTGAGCAGAAAACCATTCCAATTATCCTCTCTCTCATCAGAGCTTTTGGTTGCCCTGGGAGCCCTGGCATGCCATGTTGGCCTGGGGGTGGTGGTGTCTCCTGTGGCCCTCTATGCCTGCTCTGCGCCAGGCCCTCCACATGTGGCCAAGGTCCCTGGCAGCACCCAGCTCCTGTCCCCACTGCTCCCTCCCAACCCCCACCCTTCGGACTCACCCAGTCATACCTCTCCAAATCTTCCAGGCACCTCAGGTGGGTCTGAGAGACCCCAGCACCCCACCCCAAACCTGGAGTCTCCGGTCTCCTCCCTCCCTTCCGGCCCACACAGGGCCTGGCACTCACAGTGACAGGAGCGCAGCGGGGAAACTCTCAGGCAGCTCGGGGGAGCCCTCACACAGGGAACTCTCCTTGGAGCAGGAGCAGTGTGGAGGACACTTTCCCTTCGGGGGACTCCAGGCCTCTCCTGCCCCAGTCCCGGCCAACAGCAGCAACAGAAGGCCTGCCCCTCCCATGCCCCCTGCCCCAGCCCAGGCTCCGACTGACCCCACCCTGCCAGGCGCAGACCACTACATCTCTGTGGGATGTCCAGCCGTCCTGCTGCTGACCTGCGCTGTCCTGGTGGCTTCTTGTTCCCTCACTCCCTGTATCTGGAGTGTCAGATGGATTTTCTGTCAATATCTTTCTCTCCCTACCTTTCTTTGGTTCTGTTTCCCAACCCCTGCGATCTCGGGTCTTTCTGCCTTTGTCTCTCTGGAGAGTGTGTGTGTGTGTGTGTGTGTGTGTGTGTGTGTGTGTGTGTGTGTG